TATTGATGGATTTTGCTTCAAAAAATAATATAATTCACTTGTTCAAAGTACAAAAAACTATGACCATGTAGTTCATGACCATACAATCAATGGAAAGGGATTGGGGTCGTGGTGGTAGTACCCCTATATCCTAATCACCACATCCTCCCCCCCCCCAATTGACCATACAATCATTCGGTTTGGGTGTTGATGGATATAAAGTTGGAATTACAATAGGACCTCTTCCACCTCCTCCATCACCGTGCATCAAGTTGATGTGAAAGTCATATCCCCATGATTACGGAGTTTTAATGACCATATGGATCATATTTTATGGCCCAAGAAAATTTGGTTATCGGCACACAAGCTGCAGTTTTAACTAAGGCAGTGTTTGGGAAAGGAGGTTTTACCAAAAGATCGAACATGGTTAAGATTCTATTACTAGATGGACTATCACTTCCTAGCAACTTATACAATTGGGAGCTTATGAAGAATGTGACTACCGGTTTTTTCTCATTCATCCATAAAACAAAAGGAAAAAAAAATTATACAAGGCAATGACTATACTTTGTAGAACTAAGATTGCAATAAATTAAACTATCCATTTTAGTTGGATGATATACATTCGATATTGTCTTAAAAGATGTGCTCAATTTTCGTATTGTCTTCAAAGACATGCCAAATAATTGGTGTGGCCATCCCTAAATAGTTGTGTTGAATGGAAGATGTGGATTTATGTAGCCAACCCCAGCTACTTGGGATAACGACCGTATAATAATGATGATTTTCTTGAAGTAAATGTTGACCAGTGGGTAAGATGCGAAGTAATAGCCCACATAAAAGAACTTTCTACTATATGTAGTTTTCTGAACAACATTTTTGCAAGTTACTTTTTCTTCATGTGAATATATGCTCCCTAGGATATTTCCACAAGTTACAAGGATTTAATACTTATTGAATTGAATTATTGGAAGAATTATAGCTGTTGCATGTTAATTTTACAACTGAAGCCATTAACGGTCATCACAAAGGCATAGAGTCATTATCATCGTTATCAGAGTTTTTTTCTAATTATTTGGGGTCAGCTATGCAGATCTTGATGTGCTTTTTTGCTCTATTATGAGCCATACTCTCAATGAGGTCATAAATCCCTATATTTTTTCTCACATAGACATAGTGATCAATAAATTATAGGACACTAAGTGCTCAGTCACTTAATGCTCAAAGCTTCTTTAGCTCTTCAAAGTGGGAGAACTCAAAATCTTTTATAACCATTGCATCAAGAGATTGTGCTCTAAAACATGAAACAAGAAATTTGGCAAGCCATATGCTTAGAAAGAATATCTTGGTAAATCTTGGTACAACTCTAGTGATTTGCAAGACAATGATGGTCAAAAGCACCCTTTAGATTCAAATATAAGATGATGAGAACTACAATTCACTTTGCCGTCAGAATTGAAATATGGGACTATGGGTGCGCACAAAATTTGAAAAAATATTTTTGAATTTTGAATGCCGTCAGTAACACGTTTTTCACATCTAATGGTTAAGATTGATTATGACATTTTTGTATAAAAAATAAACTTTATATATATATATATATATATATATACTCTATGTGAGTGATATCACATTCCATGTGGATGACATCACACCCTCCTAATAACAATAAATACTCTTATTAAAAAAAGCTCAATGTAGAAAATACGGATATAAAAATATCCCAAATTGTTGAGTACAATGATAAATTATTCTATAGTATGAGCACCCTAACAAAGACATAAATTTCTATATATGTATCTATAAGTATAAGTATTCACATATATACTCATATATTGTACTAACATATCGTATGAGTTTTTTTAGTCCACATTTCTGACAGTCACATCTAGACACCAATGTCCATGCCTACATAACATAACTCCTTAACATGTTTATGATTCATTTATATGGAATCTTTTATGATACCTATATTCTATTCGCCCCCTACCATTCTCAACATTTTTGTAGTGCATCCCTTATATTCTATGGGATTATATACAAGGGTGTGGTTTCTATAAGGGTGTGGTTGCAACCCTAAAGAATCCAATTAAAGTGCACCATCCAAATTTTATCTTCGTAATGTTGGTGCAAACAAGTATTAGGATTATCTTAAAATCTATTTTTATATCTAATTATAAAATTTAAACTCCAAAAATAGTTAAAATCAAGTAGATCTATAAATATATGAAAATCTTGAAAATGGACAGTCTAGATAATGAGTTGCAAGATACATTATTTTTGGGACTCAAAATTTTTTTTTTTTTTTGCATATTCATACATCTCGATGTCAAGATGATCAATTAGAGGGTTTTTCAACACTAAAACAACATTTTCCAATGGATTTTTTACGCGCATATGTAATTCTACATTTTAATGTTGCAACCCTATATAAACCTTTTCCTATATACAATGAGATCATTTATCCTTTATACAAGCTGATCACAATTATGTACAACCATCCGATGTGAAATCTGATAGCTTGGGTGCATCACAAAGTTCGAAAAAATTTCTTTTGAAGTTTCAACTTATTCAATGAAATAAATGTAGCCATCTAATTTTAGATCTAATGCTCGGAATTAATTGTGACCACCTAGTACGAAAGAAAGATATATGGTCTCATCTTCCACTTTTCCATATTCTATTCTATTTATGATACACAAGTGTATAATACATATATTCCCTGTCGTTTTTCAGGTGAAGTCATATATTAAATTTCACGTCTTTTAACTTCTTTTGTAGCTTTTCTTTGTTCATAGTTTTCGTGAAAAGCAAGTAAGCAATCATTTAATGAATTTGTTTGTTATTAAAATGTTTATTGAAAGGGTGAAAGAAGCATGTCTAAGAATATATGCGGGGTTTCTGATGAAGGAAAGCATGTGCACCCATGCTCATGCACGTGCATATCCGCGAGCGGTGCACATGCCGGTGCATTAATTTAGGGAAGAGAGAGAGAGAGTTTTAGAGAGAGAGAGGAATTTAACAGCATAATGAGTCTATGATAGAGAGAGAGAGAGAGGGAGATACATAATGAGTCTGAGAGAGGGAGGAATATAACATAAATAGTCGGTTCATGTTTGCATGAAAAAGAGAGAGAGAGATGAGAGAGGGAGTAAATCAGGAGAGAGAGAGGGGGAAGGGGAGAGAGGAGTAAATCAGGAGAGAGCGGGGGAGGTAAATCAGGAGAGAGAGAGAGAGGAGAGAGGAGGGGGAGGTAAATCAGGAGAGAGAGAGAGAGAGGAGAGATGAGGTGGAGTATATGACTTGCAATATTGGAATTAGGAGTGAAATAGTGAGAAAAGAAGTCGATGATTAAATAATTTACCAAATACAAATTTTGTCACGAAGGCCAAAAGAAATAAAACCAAAAGTGGCAACTGATTGATGAAGTCGCAAATAAAGGGCATTATTATCAGAACTACGTGTCCGCATTTGCAACCACCACCAGTACTCACTAAAACTGGGTCAACTATATATATGTATATATATACACAAAATTTTAAGGAGGAAAAAAATTATATAAGGTTGTATATTTAAAAAGTACATTTAAAGATCACCTAAAAAATCCGTCAAAAAAGTATTAAAAACCCTCTAATTTATCATCTTGATTTATAAATATAAAACAAGAAAAAAATAATTTTGAATCCCATAAATAGTACATCTTACAACACATTATCTAAACTATCCATTTTTAAGACTTTCATATGTTTATAGTTTAAAATTTTGTATTTAGATATGAACATAGATTTATCAAAAAATCCTAAAATTTTTTACATTAAAATTACATGTTATGATAAAATTTGGAGGTACGTCTTAATTGAATTGTTTGAAGTTGCAACCTTATAGAAACCACACCCCTTTAAGGAAAAAACATATTGTAAAGGAGAAAAAAAAGAGTAATTTATGTTCAGATCTTAAAATTTTAGGTAAAATGCAAATGCTCCACTTATAGGCGGAAATTACAAAGGTCGGTCAACTCTTTTTTTTTTTTTGTTTCAAAATTGCCCCTCAGTCAACTTGAATTTTGATATTTGTTTTTCGTTTTTTGTTAGTAGAACAGTGCCCCAAGCTTAAGGCACTGCCCTACTAACAAAAACACTAATAAATAAATAAATCAAATTTTGGGTTGACTGAGGGATAGTTTGGAAAAAATAAAAAAAAAATGAGTAGACCAACTTTTTTTTTGTAATTTGACCACTTCATATTTTACCTAAAATTTTAGGATACATACATAAATCACTTAAAAAAAAATACAATAAGACATTTCACCTTTACAAAACTATAATCATTCTTTGCACTCACATATGAACTTTCATCCTCAGCCCTTCAATGTGAAATCGGGTAGTTGCGGATGTATCTTAGCTTAAAGTCTAAGATAGTATTTCTCAAACATGGTGATACAACCCTTGCTCTTCAATTCCATATCTGATAGCTAGGATTGATTTTCAATTCCACATTTGACAGCTAAGATCGGTTACGTCTTAGAAAGTCTTGTAATGTACTGTCCCAGTCATAAATCCATGTTTACTAAAAAAAAAGGCCAGAGTCTATGATTCCATTAACTCTTCTAAAAGAAGATATCAACCATAGTGCTTTGCTCCACTTGCACTCCAGCTATCATTCATCCAACTTAAACCATCTCCTACAATTCATCATTATACTATGCTCCTGTAGGAGCATAGGATACATTTACTCCTTTGACCAAAAGAACTTATTTGGAGGATTTTTAGATATAAAATTTTGATATCCATCTCAGAACAACTAGATCTCCAACAAAAAAAAAAAAAAGAAAAAAAAAAAAAGGCCTTCTGCACTATTTAAATGTCGCCCTCCAAGAATGGGGACGGTCTCTATTCCGTCTAAAGATGTTATTTTTTTAGGTGCATATATAATGCGATTTGAAAAAAACCTTCTTCTCAAAAAAATAAAAAATAAATCCGGGAGACGTTACATTTCCCAAAATTTAGCATCCTAAGAGTACTCCTTGATAATGTTTTAACCGAGGGAGTAAACAGACAGTATAAGCTCCCGAGAGAGCACGGAAAAATTTGGCTGACCTGAATGGAGGGTATTGGGGATATTTTTGAAGAAAGAAAGGAAGAAGGCCTCGCCAAAAGGTGAGCTAGTGACGCTCTCTTCTCCATAAGAATCCCTAACCCTAGCTTCTCGTCCAGGTTCATCGCTACCACTGCTATTCGCTTAAGATCCCTGCAACTTCGGCTCCAATCGACGGCTCACAGCCGTAGGATCCACGTAACCTGCACGAACGATAACGCTGTGCAAGATCCCTCTAAACCCTAGATTGCTGCCTAACATTCATTGAGCTTCCCGCACCAATCGATCGACTGCGGCGACGACACTGGTTATGGTTAAATTGGAATCCTAGAGAAGGATTGTACAAGTGTCTAGAGGGTTCGGTAAGGTGGATCGGAGGCATGGGAAGAGGCCCCTTCCTTTTGATACACAATACAAGAAAGAGGCGGAGGAGGGGGAAGGAGGAGAGGGAGAAGAATCGGTTTTCTCTCGACGGTCGGAGCACGACGCCAATGTTATGGTCTCGGCACTCGCAAGAGTGATCGGCACCGGGAGCACACAACGGTCGTGGCTGGGCGGGGTGTCGGAAAAGGGCTCAGGTGTGATTGGCATGGGAGACACGAGAGTGTCGGACGCACGGGGCGGCTCGGTGTCTGACCCTTACACTACTGGTAATTTCGGAAACCCTAGGGTTAATGGATATGTGTGAGAGGTGTTTTTCAGCTGGTGTAGATGTTATCTGGAGTAAGTGCACTTAGTAGAGAGAGAGAGAGAGTGCACCCGATGTTTTCTAGAAAGGGCTGGGTTGCAAGCTTTGCCTTTTGTCTTATTTTCTTTACATGTTTTTCGAGCACCGCGAGGGTTCGTGGCTTCTCCTTCTCTCACCCATCGTTTCATCTCTTTCCAACACAAAAACATGGGCATTTACTAACAAAATTAGATAAAAATTTATTGATAGAAAATTATAGATATCGTATATGATCATCATCATATCTTTTTTCAAATTATTTGGGGTCGGCTTGTATGCCTTTCTATTTTATCAAAGGTCATACCTGTCTGTTGCAAGTCTTTCAGGTCTCGATCCTGTCCGTAGCAAAATTGTGAAGTCAAGGGTTGGGCAGGCACTATCTGTTCGAATAACAATGACCCTAGGGTTTTTGTTTTTTTTTTTTGGGTAATTCACGGGAAAAGATAGGCTCTTACCGGTTTTTTTTTTTTTAAATTGTTTAGAAGTTTGTTTTTGAAAGCGTTAGTGGGGTAGTGTCAGTAGGAATAAAAACCACAACATAACTTAACCGAAACCCTAAACGTAAATACACCTAATTTTTCGGCTTATCCCCCGGAATTACCGACCGATCCACGTCAACTTGGGTGATTCCGAGTCAACTAGCTGACCACTTAATCCAATTTTCTTTATTTTCCATGGTGACAAATCCATATAGATATTTTGAACACTCCCTCTAATAAAAACACTGGAATGAATTAAATAGGAACTTTCGACTCCCTATCTCTGTCCCTGGCATTACTGATAGAATAATAGATACTCTCTCTCTTTCATCCACCTGTTTCTTCTATGAAATTGAAATGGAGTTTACAACTTACTTTCTAACTCTCTATATTATTTATATGGGAGCCCAAGTCAAGTGCACCCCAAATTCTCACTCTTATATTTATATAGGAATTGAAGATTAGTAATTTCGGTTTGTATTCAAGTTGCAGTTCACCTAAGCGAGCCTGGGTGCACCTACTATATATGAAACTATGGAAATTTAGCACTCAGCTTTATATTTTAAACTCAATCACATTAAATATTTATTTATTTTTGTATATTTTCTTATCGTACCCCTTAGGATGTTAAGTATATGTTCCAATGCAAACAATCGGATTGGTCCTTATCATCATTGAACGGACCTAACAATGATTTGGATGAAGCTAACTATGTCTGATTTTCTCCCTCTCTCAACGCATGAGCATAAAATGATATATACTTCAGTGTTTGGGAAATCAAATCGGCCTTGAAAACCAGTCATGGGCTGGTTTCGAGGAATTGGAAAAAGAAATGAAAAGTATATTTAAAGCATGATTAAACAAAGCATAACCAGATGAAATGAAGTTGAAAATCAGTAAAAAAAAAAAACGGATTTTTTAAAATTGATTTGTGCTAATGCAATTTTTTGAAAGTTTTCAAAAAGATGGAAAAATGTACAAATAAGAAAACACTTTCCAATTGCCAAATGATAAAAATATTCAAAAGGGCAATATAAACAAATCTTTTTTTTTTGGAATTTTATATATATATTTTTATTTTATTTAAAATAACTGATCAGATTTCCAAAACTGGCCAAAATTGAAATCGGCCCGGTTCCGAGTTGATCCCGGGTTTTCAAAGACTGATATAGATGGTCCCCAACCTGCTATCTAACCAATTTCTCTCTCCCCCTCCCTCTTTAAACGTAAAGAGGCACTGATGTTTTTTTTTTGTTTGATTGATCAAATGCAATGATTTAAATGGCCCGAATTGGCTTATAAATTGAACTATCCAATGTCTCTTCTCTCTCTCTCCACTCTCCATACATGCATTTAGAAGCCGCTAATTATACTATAGAATAAAGAAATCTCTCTTACTGTCACATACGCATGCAGAGGCGCGCACAAACACTCTCTCGCTCTCTCTGTTACTACAGAGTGATTTAGAAGCCTTTAGTTATACTATAGAGGTGAAACGTCCGATTTCTCTCTCTCTCTCTCCTCACACAGGCAGACAATCGCTATGCTTTAAATGCACCACATGGTGTTTTGTCCTTGAAAACTCTATCTCTCTCTCTTGGACGCACTGAACTATTCTTATTTCATGGAAGCTATTCCTCTTTCTTAGATGCACCAACTATGGTTTGTTAATGGAGCTACCGCTCTCTCTCTCTCTCTCTTGGATGCACTGAACTATTCTTATTTCATGGAAGCTATTCCTCTTTCTTAGATGCACCAAACTATGATTTGTTAATGGAGCTACCGCTCTCTCTCTCTCTCTCTAGAGTAGAGAGAGGTACGTTTTCTATGCTAATTATTCATATAACACGGTGCTCAAAACATCGAGTCGGCCTAAGTACTGGGAACTTACATCTCCCCTACTGATGCGTATACATTTTTTTTGGCTGCCCTATGCGTTGCAGTGCCATGTAAGAGAGAGGAAGAGCCACAAAACCCAATCTCCCAATTAACAGAAGAAGGCATCATCAACATCAACACCACCACCACCACCACCAACGTTAAGAAGAGAAACTACAGAGGAGTAAGGCAAAGGCCGTGGGGGAAGTGGGCAGCAGAAATTAGAGACCCAAAAAAGGCAGCTAGGGTTTGGCTTGGAACCTTTGATACAGCTGAAGACGCAGCTGTTGCCTACGATAAGGCCGCTTTACGATTTAAGGGAACGAAGGCTAAGCTTAATTTTCCAGAGAGGGTGCAATCGTCGAGCATAGTGAACCAGTTTATGGGCCCAGAAGTGGGTGCGACGCCGGTTCTCTCTCCTGCTTCTTATCCTGAGATTTATCAGTATGCCGAGTTGCTGAGAGGGAGTGGTGAAGAGGTGGAGAACAGTGGGCCAGGGTTTGGGGTTTTTGAGGAGAAGAAGCCTGTTGTTGGGTCGAAGAGCGAGAGCTCTTCTTCTGGGTTCGGTTCGGGGACGAGTTGGAGTGGTTGAGAGAGAGAGAGAGAGAGAGAACTTTTCTTCTGGTTTCTGTTCCAGGAAGGCACATTGGAAGTAGTTGTGTGCATGAGAGAGTGAGAGAACTTTCTTCTGGTTTCTTTTCCAGGAAAGATGACTGGAAGTAGTTGCGTGCATGAGAGAGAGAGATAGAGAGAATTTGGATTCCTTTTAGGTTTCGTGTGGTGTATGTTGCAAAACAATGTTAATTAGGGAAGAGCATGGTTGTTTATGGCTGGTTATGGATGGGGTTTATATTAAAAGACAGTATTTTGTTCATAGAGAGAGAGAGAGAGAGCGAGAAAGAGAGAGAGACTTTAGATTTGTGTTGGTTGGTTTAGAGAAAGAGTGAGTCTGCTTGAATCCAAAATGGTAGAGAGAGAGAGAGCTTAGATTTGTGTTGGTTGGTTTAGAGAGAGAGACTGCTTGAATCCAATTTGGTAGAGAGAGAGAGAGAGAGTTTGCTTGAATTCAATATGGTAGAGAGACAGAGAGAGAGAGAGAGAGATTGCTTGAATTCAATATGGTAGAGAGAGAGAGAGATTGCCTGAATCAAATAATGGAGAGAGAGGGAGAGAGTCTTCTGGGATCAGTTTGGGATCTTGGAACCTTTAATTAGTGTGACTTTTGGCTTGTTGCCTGCCCAAATTACGGAAAGCCTGTGCATCTCTAAATTATCAATACTGAAACACTCTGAACAAAATCTGCAAAAACGCGTGCCTCGTTCTTTAAACAAATCTAAATAGAAAACAACAGTACATAGTTGTAGAAAAGTAGGGCATATATCACTTCGTACCTCGAGCCAAACCTTAGTTGTGACTTCTAAATGAAGATAATGTACCTATTAAGAGGCCTCTACCCTTTTTATAATCTTCTTTTGATGCATTAATTTTTCATGTAAATGAGGTTCAGTGAAGTTGGACGCTTCATCACGTTTCTAAGAGAGAAACGTGTCATTCATTTTGTTTTCATAGAAAGAGAAAGACGACTTCGTTATTGAGTCAATTTGTTGTACAAACTGCCGCTTTTGGGTACTGATTATACGTTACACAAACTCGGTTTCATTGAAATATTGTCTGAAAACAAGTTACACAACAATATGAATGCAAAGATAATTTTTCAAACCTTATTCCAATTATTTATGCAAAGATAATTTTTCAAACGTTATTCCAATTATTTTCGAGTCCAATCATGCGTGACTGACTGCTTTCTTTTTAAAAGATGATCATCAATCTTTCAAGCTTTATCTCGATTAATCAGCTTTATCTCAATTAATCAGGGTCCCATATGACTTTCTTTCGCAGAGCTTCACATTCGCAGTGTGGAATATGAGAAAAACATATGTGAAGCTTGTAGATCGAGAAAGTCTTGTCGGCAACGTTTTAAAATTTAGAGAGAGAGAGAGAGAGAGAGAGAGGGAGCAGCAATTTGTGTTTGTGCGAGAAATAAGAGTTTATTTTTGTTCTGCAAACTTTGTTTGTGGAATAAGAGATTACTTTTCAGTTCTTCCAAAAATACGAATAAGAGTTTACTTTAGTGCTGTCGACTTTCTTTTTGGCGTTCATGGACAAGCGACAATTGGCATATCTTGCTTTAAAATAAACACTACTTCCTTTCGATTGCGAGACAAACGTATGTCATATTTGGCGTGTTACAGACAAACAGATTTGCTCATTTCTCTTTTCCATATTCCGTTTGAACAGAGAGATTTTCCATATTCTTTTGGAAAAGTACGCTTTTTTTTTTTTTTTCCTTGGCCGGAATGAACCAGATGCAAAGAGTCTACTTTTTAACCTCCTTTATTTCTCAAAAAGAGTTGTACTACCCCACCAAGCTTCATATTCTATAAAATATCATGATTCTAGGCTTTGAGGTACATCAAAGGGGTGAGGTTTGCATGAGCTCCCCAACTTATACACGTGATGTGCGCCTTTAAATTTTGCGAAAACATGTAATCCTACTGTCAAATGCTTTGAATATTCATGTTTAATCCTAATTATAAAATTTAAAATTCGAAAAGTAATGTAGAAAGTTGATATATAAATACTTAAAATCTTTAAAATAGACGGTCTAGATAATATATTACAAGATGCATTGTTTCTTCTTCTTTATATTAATACATATGGAGGTAGGTGTGGTAACAGACCTGACCAGACTCGGGACTCGACAGGCATACCCGACCTAGGGTCTGGGTATGGGTCCAAATTTTAGACCCAAATACTATTCGTGTCTTGGTCCATGTAGGTGTTCATATTGTTGGCCTAGGATATATAATGGCAATCATGGGTCTTTAGGCGCTCACCAAGGGTTCATATTGTCACAATATTGACAACACTTAATAGTATTATTGCGGAAAAAAATAAACTTATAGTCATAGGGTATATGATTGTAAAAAAAAAAAAGGAAAAAAAAAAGAGCTCATAATCATAGCGTGGCAATAGAACCGACTAGACCCAAATTTGGGACTCCAATACTATTAGGTTTGGGTCAGGGTCCAGCCCGTTCGTACTCGACTCGTTGTCACCCCTATATTGAGGTCGAGATAATCAATTTAAAGATTTTTAACTTGAAAATACCTTTTTCTACTTGAGTTGTAACCATAGTTAGCAAGTCTCCATTTAAAACACGATTTTTTCAAAAAATTTCTAATTTTTTGAAATCCGGTTAGAACTCTGAGTTTTTCAAAAGATCTTCAAAAAAATCGTGTGTTTTTCCAATGTAGATTTTATATTTTTTCAAAAAAAGCATCTTCCCTATAACTTTATTTCTTTGTTAACTTAATATTATTGCTTTTTTATTTAACGATAAGCAAATTAATCATCGGAGTAAATTAAGAGCCTTGATTTAAAATAAATTCCATAAAACGTTTCACCAATAATTTCACTTAAAAAAAAGAAGATATTAGAACAATCATATGTTTCAAAGTAGCAGGTAGAGCTAGAAGACTAACCCAATGAAATATATATAGATATTTATATTTCTTTTAAACCCTATGCATCATTGTAAAGAGCATTTTGTGTGATATTCGAAATTGCTTAAAGATTTTGTATACTAAATATTTAAGCAGCTATAATTCAGCGTGAGATTTTTATTTACTTAAATATTTTGTTGCTTTTTTTATATATAGAGAAGTTTGATTAATTTTATTTTTTTTATTTTATTGATGTATACTCCATAGAATTTTGGATGGACTACTATTTTACGTATTTGGGTATGTATTTTGTGTTTGTTAATTGCAAACCTATACTAAGCGGTCTTTTTTGTTTTTTTGTTTTTTCAAACAATAATCCCATATCTTACTTTGTAGTTCTTGTTATTTACTAATGTAGTTTTTGTGCTAAATATTATTTATATTTCATTTTATGCTCCAAATAAATCTATGATATGTTTCGTGTTGTGACATCAGAGTAGGCATTGTTGTTAGACTTTTTGCAAGTTTAGACAATAAATTGTCAAGTATCACTCTAACGACAGTAGGTAAGTTCATAAAATTATTGTTCAATGGCTTTAATATATCTATATAATAACTGCAAATCATAATCCTATATTATGTCATTTTTATATATCAAAATTTTTTCACTCCCTTTTTTTGAGACAAATCCGAATTATTCACGACTTTATAACTCTCCTCATTTTTTGTGATCTGTAATTTTTTGCCCAATTTTTTCCACTGACTTTTTTAAACAAAACTGAATCATTACTGATGTTTTGGCTTGCCAATCTATTATTATTCTCTGACTTGCTAACTATGGTTGTAACCACACTTATAATATAAATTATCAAGATGTAACCCAATATAATATATTTAGGTACTTGAATCCAACTCTTCACAAATAAAGGAGATAAGAAAAAAGAATTAATTACGTACGAACGCTATATAAGTAAAGAAAATACAATATGCTCTCTTTATATGCGAAGATTACATCCAAAGTCAGTCAATGCGATTTCTTTTTTTTTTTGATGAAATTATCCCTAAGCCTGAGGATGCCATTCTTGGACTTTTTTTTTTTCTTTCAAAACTTAAGTTGCAGTCCGAGGATGAAATTCTCAGACCGCTTTTTTTTTTTTACAAAACTTAAGTTGCAGTTCGAGGTTGAAATTCTCACACCAAAACTTAAATTTTGACAAAAAAAAAAAGACCGTCTGGGGATGTTATACCCGGACCGCTTTTTTTTAAACAAAAAACTTAAAAGCGGTCCAGGGATGGCATCCCATGACCACTTTTTTTTCTTTTTTTTTTCAAAACTTAAGTTACAGGTCAAAAATTTCAACCTTGGACCAAAAGTTAAGTTTTGAAAAAAAAACAAAAATAAAAAAACGATCCGAGAATGTCATCTTTAGACCGCAACTTTAAGTTTTGAAATAAAAAATAGGCAACCTGAGAATGGCATCTGTAAAAAAAAATTACGTTAGATCGATCTTAATTGTAATTTTTTCGAACTTTGTTAAGATCCTCCCGTAAATAACTCAAAATAAATAATGTAAGGAAATGAACTAAGCATCTAGGATCCGACAAAATAGAAGCTTTTGGGACTTATGCCAATCCGCCGCAGGCGTGTAGAAGTGGGAAAATGATGAAAATTTGAAAGAGGCGAAGTCGGCCGCTGTCTCGACGGTGAAAGCGATGCACGCCGAAGCCATGATTAAAAGAACAAAATTAGGACTGTCGTTTTGGCGGTGTCAAATTTTGCGGCGACGCGGTTTTATATACTTTATTTTAGGGAAAAGTTTATATAAGGTTGCAAACTTAAAATGCACAACTACGGATGCACTTAAAAAATCAATTAAAATAGTTATTTTAATATTTAAAAACTCTCTAATTGATCATCTTGACATCAAGATAAATGATTACAAAAAAAAAGGATTTTGAGTCTCTATAAATAGTATATTTTACAACACATTATCTAGACTGTCTATTTTCAAGATTTTCATATATTTATGGATCTACTTGATTTTTAATTATTTTTAGAGTTTAAAATTTTATAATTAGATATGAAAATAGATTTTGAAATAATCATAAGAATATTTTATATCAAAATGATATGTTATGATAAAATTTGAAGGTGCACCTTAAATAGATTGTTTAAGGTTGCAAACCCTCTTGTTTAAAGATACCATTCATTTGTACGCCAACATGGCCTAGGGTCTTTATTTTGGGAAATCAACGTATTTTGGGAGCGGTTTGTATATAGCCCAGGCTTTAAACAATCGAATGAGAGCCTGTCTTCAAATAGTGTCAAGTAATGTAGTTTTAATATTAGAAATAT